CAGGGGGGGGCGGAACCGGCGGGAAGTTTGAAAGTTAAAAAAAAAAAAAAAAATCATACCACCAGTGAGGTATAAAAACAAGCGTCGGACACGCGTTTCACTGAACTAAAACGTGCTAAAAACGCGCCTATAGTAACGCCCAGATGTGAACCCAGCCTTAAAGTTTCCCTATGTGTACAAGGTGGAATCCTTCCCGTTTTGTCTATAGTATGGTCACGCTGCTGGAGCATGTAGAAACACCCATACATACCATACTTCTATTCTAAAGGTGGCCATACACTTTACAACCCAAAGTCTTACGAGGGTTGTAAAGTACTTAAAAAAAACATACGATCTGCCCATCTTGGACAGGCAGATCTGATGACTGCAAACGGGCAGTGTGCGCGTGCGTACACCGGCCCATTCGCCAGTTGTCGAACAAGCAGGCCACTAACTCGCCAATAATCGTAAGATTCCCGGCGGGTTTTCTAGCATGCTTGTTCGACAGAAGACGTGCGACCGTACAGTAGAAACAGTCGCACGCCTTCCATACACTGCACGGCTCTTGTACGTTTGCGGGGTTTTCCGCGATTCTCGTGGGGTTTTCCGCGATTCTCGTACGAGAATCGTGCAGGAGCCAGTCTGTCCAATCCAGGAGAGAGAACATTTCAGGACTAGTAATGAGCCATTTAGTAGTAGCAATAAATTAAATTGGTGGATAAAAATAATAAATGCACCTAAAACCAAAAGTTGGTGTTTTTGACGGACTAAAGAGGTTTTTATTGCGGTTTGTGGTGTTGTGGATAGTCGCTCTCTCCATTTTTATCCTGATCACCATTGTCACCGGGGCTGAATGTAGGCGAGAAACCAAAATTATGAGTTGCTTCCAGAACAAAAATTGAGGGGACAATTGTTCCAGTGACAACTTAGAGGGCATTTTCCTCACTTTGAAAAGATTTTCTGTCAGTACCTGGTGTGTCTACAGAACAGGATGTGAAGGGAAATCTCCCCAATGGGCACAGATGGGTTTAACCTTTCCCTAACAAAAAAAAAAGAAAGTTTTGGCTTCAGTTATACTTAAATATAGATCAGCAAAGTGTGCCATGCACTCAGAGCTGTACAAAAATAAGTTTTTGGATGTTAAGATGTAGAGTTACACCCAGTGTGGTTTATGGAGCTGTACTGCACACCAGTACTAAATGTAACAATGACTGGTGCATGGCACAGAAGGCTACTAGTAAAATCTGCTTGTTGCAGCATCCAAGTCTTCTCTTTATAGGGACTGATGACCTTTTTAAATTGGGCTCTCTAGAATTCTACAGTGATTGGTCCTCTCTTGATTCCAGTATATGGCAGCCAGGCAGATTCAGGACGTGGAATAAAATGCCTCCTCTTGCTTTCAGTAAATAATTACTTTGCACACACTGCAGCATGGGGAGTACTTGAAACATTTCCTATTCATGTGAAACTGTATATGGCATCTTACCAAATTACTTTTGATGCCTCTTCCAAGCAAACGTTTTAGCTAATGAGCTGTCAAGTAAAGGGTTCACTGATGTACATGACTAACACTGGCTGAACTTTGTAAAACCTTGCCTTTTTATTCGTGTGCATAATTATAATTGAGACATTTATATTTTCATATACGTGTATCCTAAACATTCATGGTCAGTCAGTTCAGCGAATTGAAGCATGGTCCAGCTAAAGACGCAGTTGAAATACAAGTTTAGTTTTGTTGGGGCAGCCATGTTGCTTTCAAACCTCTCCGACCCTGCATAGCCAGGATGGTGATTCCAAATTTGTATTTGCCTTCCTGAAAGTATGTTATATTGTCAGGGGTGTGCATTGTAATTTATGCATAGTAAAATTATTTTGTAATCAAAACATAGCTAGACTGAAGTCAGTGTGTGTTTGTTTGCCTGGAGTTCTGTATTATTGTAGTTAGCATGATGTGATGAAGTCAAAAGGTTTTTTTAGCAATTTCAGATGCTGATGGAATCACAGTGGATGCTGCTCCTTGATGTTTAAAAGTTTTATTTTTCTTCAGAATCAGCTTGTCCCCTCAGCACTGGGCCTGATATCCTGTTTTAGGCCTTGTTCACACCAAATGCAGAGCAGATCTGCTCAGGTTTCTGCACACGCAGTGCAGTGGCTTGTGCCGTGTTTTTGATGCGTTCCGGGCCGTTTTAGTTTAAAATGGGCTTTCAGTGCGCTCCCAGGTGTTTTTGATGCGTTCCAGAGCAGGTAAAATAGGGCCTGCTGCAGTTTTTCTTACCTGCTCTGGAACTGAACGCTGCGATGTGAACTGGAGCTAAAAATACCATTGGAATACATTGGATGCAGTTTTGCTCCGGTCTGTAACTGCTCTGCACATGCTCTACGCTTGGTGAGAACAAGGCCTTAGAGCCCATTCACACCACATCTCGATTACCTCCAGACCAGACTGTTTCTGGACACAAAATGCATCCCAATGTATCCCTATGCTATTTCTGGCCTCTGTTCCCACCAGCGCAGTCCGTACCAGACCAGACAAATACTGCTTGTCCTAGTTTGTCTGGTCTGGAACACATCAAAAACGCACTGGAACGCTTGTAAGACCATTTTAAGTTTTTAAAATTCCGATTGCGGCAAAAACGCAATGCACTATGGTCCAGACCCTTGTGTGTGCTAGTAAGCTGTGAGTCTCCACAAACACACAGCAAGGCAAGTCACCCCCTGCTGTGACCTTGTCCTAGACAGGAAGTTTAGGGAATCAGAGAAGCCAAGTTGAGAGGGTTGGAGCTGTTTGGAAACATGAGGACTACAAAAATTAGGATTGTGTGATTAGGATTTATTATTGAAAAAAAGTTTGAACGTTTAATACTACTTTAAAGTGACTCACTTTTACAAACCTGAATGCTGCGGGCAAGTTTGGAGTTCAGGCATCCAGAAGTATAACAGTATACTCTTCCTTGCATGCCGGGCAGTTCTAATGCGGCAAAGGTTTAGCATGTTCTCATTGCTAGCCCTTGCTTATCTACTCTCACCTTCCACACATTCCTGTAGGTCAGTGAGGCATCCGTCATAGTGATGGGTGAGTAGAGACATGTGAGATGAGAGTTTAGAGAAAAGCTCTGACCCAATCTGAGGATACAGAAATCTGCTGACTCCATTAGGAGGGTGTGTTCACCTGTATAGAAAAATAACCTATACGGTCTATAACACCATCTCGTAACCCTGAACGAAGCATTTATGCCATTTTTATACATGGGGTCCATTATCACAAGGTGTGTGAAGTCTTCTCCAAAGCTGAGCTCATCCACGGTGATCGGAGTCGGAGAACACTGCACATGTGCTGGGGGTTAGGAGTAGAGCTGCAGCTAACGATTATTTTCAAAATCGATTAGTTAGCCGATTATTAGGTTCGATTAATCGGATAAACAATAAAATAAAGTTTAAAAAATTGCTCCAGTGATGGGACTACTAGTTTGTATTGAGGTTGTAGTCCATCACAGTAGCAAGCTTGGAGCGGTGGAAGTAAAAAAGAAAAAAAAGATAGTGTGGTGTGCAATATAGTGAAATGGAAAGTGTAAAATTATACAGCAATCAATGCAAAATGGCACCGGCTATAGAGGACTACAAAACCCAGCAATAGTACATTATACAGCACAATGCAGAATGCCACCAGCTATAGAGGAATACAACAAATCCCAGCAATAGTACATAATAGCTGGCGGCATTCTGCATTGTGCTGTATAATGTATTATTGCTGGGATTTGTTGTACTCTTCTATAGCTGGTGGTATTCCGCATTGCGCTTTATAATGGATTATTGCTGGGATTTGTAGTCCTCTATACAGCGCAATGCAGAATATCACCAGCTATAGAAGAGTACAACAAATCCCAGCAATAATACATTGTACAGTGGTGCAATGCTGAATACCACCAGCTATAGAGGACTACAAAACCCAGCAATAGTACATTATACAGCGCAATGCAGAATCCCGCCAGCTATTATGTACTATTGCTGGGATTTGTTGTATTCCTCTATAGCTGGTGGTATTCTGCATTGCGCTGTATAATGTACTATTGCTGGGTTTTGTTACCACCAGAGTACAACAAATCCCAGCAATAGTACATTATACATACAGTGTATAATGTATTGCTGGGATTTGTATTCCTATGTATAATTTACAGCACAATGTACCATCAGCTATTTAGAATGAATTGATTTGTACCTGCTGGATATTACAGGCAGCGCCAAACTTTCGTCTCTTCGGGGTTGAAGGCTAGTTCACACCAGAACTGTGTGCGTCTGCTCAACTGCACTGGGGTGAACGGAGCACCAGCAATCCCATAGGAAAGCATTGTGATGCACTTTGGATGAAACTGCCAAAATGAATGGACTGCCTCTGGTGTGGACTAGCCCTGAGATGCGGCTGTGACAATAAAGGGCTCCAGTCGCTTACCTGCTCCCTCTACCCTCATCCATTCACAAAAAGCCTTGTATTATTTGGACAGAATACAAGGTGTTCTTTGAATGGACAATGGGAGATCCAGTGGCATACTTGGTCCTCCACCTGGTCTCCTCCAGTCTCTTGCTTTGGCCAGTGGAAAGGGCAAGTGACGCTGTTCGGTGCCATAGACATCAGTTGGTAAACAGTGTGTTGATGCCCCCATGTTACACATTCTGTGTAAATGAGCTTTGTATTTAATAATGGGATCTTTTCATTATCACATTTATGTGTAGTCAGGAAGTCACTTGAATCTTGCCGATATGGATTTCTCTGGTCTAGTGGAATAGAGATTGGTGAAAGCGGCGGAGCAGTGTCTATTTTCATACCGTTGACGGTTGAGTTCTCACATTCATGTTTAAAATAACATCTGTGGTTTCAGGTTCCAGTGTACATACACAGACATTCTATACATTAGCTAGGCATGTGATCTGGGTTGGTCCATAGTGAAACGTGGAATTGTTGGGAGGGCTGGGGGTCCTTTCTATACCATATCCTGGCTGACATGGCTCTTCTATTTTATTTACAGGGCGTTCATATTTAGCCCAGTTTCTTCAAGCAGAAGGTAACTAAAAACCTGGATGTTCTAAACAAATCCCAGCAATCTAAACCCTCTGATTTCTAATCTTCTTGTAATTATAGTGCAATTGTTTTATAATCATTGAACATCCAATCTTATAAAGCATACTAATGTGCAATTTTGTAAAACTAAGCCAATACGTTTTTACCTACCGTATTAACTAATTTAATTTGATTTTAGAATCTCCAGAAATGATAATATATAAAAGAATGACTCCTGAATCTTCGTGCCCCTTGTCACAGATAATTCTATGAATCATTGGAGTGCCTATCAATGCTACCAAATCAAGTAATTTTGTGTAAATAAAATCTGTATCCCTTTTTCTTCTGTCAGATTGGTGTGTGTATTGTTTGTCTGTTGGGGACATTTTCCCTTTTACTTCCTGTCCTTCAGGCACAACAGAAGCAAGTGGAAATCTTCCAAAAGTAAAGGGAATTCCCCTGTAAGGACCTGTTTACTCTAGCTTGTCCACAAAAAGGTGCATTTTAGCAGAAGGGCTAGTGTGTTGTGGTAGCTCCGTCAGTGTGAATTGTATCGCACACTGCCAGAGTTGTCACTGTTTACTTTTTTTTGGGGGGGGGGGTTAAACTTTATGTAGAGGTACAATGTGTACACTGCATTCAGGTTCCCATACAGCAGTGCACTACTGTGTGGCAACCTGCATGATGCCATAATATGCAGTATGTTTACATTGTATTGCAGCACACCGCCCCATAATACCCATGTTGTGTAAATGGGACACATAAGACCATTGTTTTCTATATGTCCTTGCAGGTGACCTGCTTTGATCCGGTGCAGTAAAACACAGGTCACTGCTATGTATGTGAATGGGCTCTTAGACAATTGTCATCGAAACGGGTGCCTTAACTGCAAGATTTTCCAACCCCGAAATGTCCCATCACTTTGTGTCCCGATTTCATATGGTTCACAGAAGAGAGGGGGAATCTCTACAGTGAGGTCACAGAAGGCTATAAGAAACCCACCTCTTCATCAGTCTATCCAAAACTATAATGGTTGGGTAAGAGAAACCCTTCCCCCCCC